CTGGCAGGTAGGGCTGGCTGCAGAGCAGTGCTAGGGGGTGCTGTGGGGCAGGGAATGGGGGGGGGCTCAGCAGGGGGCATTGTCCCCTGGAAGGCAGGGCTGACCACAGCGCTGTGCTAAGGGGTGCTTGTCCCCAAGGTATGGGGGAGTCACCAGGCCCTGCACCCCCATCCACAGCCAGACATGATTCTCAGCTGGTAGCTAGAAGAGAAGGTTTATTAGGCAGCAGGGACACAGCATAGAACAGACTTGTCAGCACAGGAACCAGGTACAGTCAGGACAATCAGTCTTGGGGCGAGAGGTCCCAGAGCCAGGCCCCTGACCCCCTGCCTGTAGCCCAAGCCATCTGAGATTAACTCACAAGCCCAGAATCCTGCCCCAACCCCCCTGCCCGGCCCCTCCTCCAGCCTTTGGCCTGTTCCACTGCCCTCTCCCCCCACAAAAGGTGTCACCTGGCCACATCCCCTCCCTGCTCAAGTTAAGGAGAGTACAACTCAAATGCAACACAAAGGGAGTAAGACCCCCCCCCCCGACTTCATCACAGTGCTGTGGGTCAGATGGGGGTGGGGGGCACTCATTCCTGCCCAGTGCCTCCCTGCTATGGGGGCTGTCTCTAGATACTCTCCCCCTGCCCCAGTCGGGGGAGTTGGTAGATGTGGGGAGATGAGACTCCATCCCTGTAAGTGCAGGGACATCTGGGTCCTAGGCGCTGTTTCCCTGACCTGTGATGCCTCTGTGCCCTATATCTATAGGGGTCCTAATGGGGCTGGGCATTTTCACCCCTGGAGTTCAGGTACCATGGTGCCCCCAGCACGCTCCGAAGACAACGGCTACCCAGTGCTAAGGCAGAGTGTCCAGGGGATCTGGAATCTCCAGGGTAGCCAGGCTGGGCTTTGGTTCATTATCATGACCATTTCCAAGAACTGAGTTCCTCACCTGCGCTGTTCTTTTTATGCAGGGGGGGGAGGGAAGGGGAGGGTTCACAAGGGAGCAGGCCTGCTTCTCTGCCTAGTTTTTCTCCCCTGCCTCTAGCCGCTGAGGCAGCGGCCCTTCTAGACGAGGCCTGGGCTCAACTAAAGCCTGTGGTTGCCTGGATTCATGTGGTAGAGAGTTCCATATGCCCCCTGCCAGGCTATAGCCATGTGACGCTCGCTTAGCATGGCCTGAGGTAGTTGCAAAGCCAAGGCCGGCTGAATGAGGGGTTGAATCACTCGCAGTCAACATCCCCTTTCCTGCCCCCCACACCCTGGCACAGCAGGACCAGTGCTGGCCATGAGGCAACCCCTGCCAGGCCAGGAAGGAAAATAAACAAGACTCTATAAAGGGCTTTGATGGCAAAGCCAAGCACCGCTGGGCATGGAGCCACTAGCACAGAACATTGACCCCAAGGAGCATAATCACCCAGTGACGCTGGGGAAGTGGGGCAAGAGGTAATGTGAGGACAGAGGCAGCAGCCAGAACTGAAGGCAGAAAAAACGAGCAGCGCCAGGCTCCCCTAGCCCTACCAGTGCCCCTCACTCCTGACCCACAGCTCCTGCCTGCCCAGTCTTGGGCTTCCCCGAAAACACTGGTTCAAGACACAGAGGCAGTTTACATGTTTAATATGGGGAGGGGGGAGGGTTGATAACAGCACAATATAATTCCCAGACCTGCCCCCCCAAAAAGAAAAGAATAAATCCAACCACAGAGAACGAGGGGACACATCGTGCAGAAACAAAACACACACACACACAGACTGTCCGAAGGCAGAGGGACCCCCCTGGGGGGCAGAGCCAGGGATGCAGGGGTGGCTTGAGCTGGTTTCTAAATGGGGGGGGTTGCACACTGCTAGGCATGAGCATCTCAAGTGGGGTTACTGGAGGGTGAGACTTCTCCATCCTACCCTGTGCCCCCCCAAGTGGGGAAGGGGACACCTCAAACCTGGGAGTGTTTGGAGATCAGATGCTAAGGGGAGGGGCTGAATTGGGGGACACCTACACCACTCCCCAGCCCCTGGCAAGTCAAGGGCTCAGGACCAGATTCTGGCAGATTTCAGGCCAGGGACTCACTGGACACAACCCATTGCCCCTAAGTGTAGGAGCAGCTTGAGCCTGAGACCCTCCGCCCCCCCACAGCCGGGGGACAAAGCCCCCCCCTCCAGCATTTACCAACGGCAGCGAAGGAAATGCAAGTCCTGGCTCCCAGCTCTACTCCACCAGTTCTCACTCCCGTCTCAGATCTGGGGAGCAAACCCAGGCATCCGGGCTCCCAGCCCCACACATGTGGGTGAATGAAACTCTTGCACATACAGGCTACGTCTTCATTGGCGCGTTCCGCAAAAGAGTTTTTGCAGGAGAAGAGTTCCTCTGCAAAAACTCTTCCAGAAGAGCTGTGCTTTTGCGCAAGAGCATCCATGTCAGTGTAGACGCTCTCTTGCGCAAGAAAGCTCTGATGGCCATTTTAACCATAGAGCTTTCTTGCGCAAGAAATTCATGTTGCCTGTCTACACTGGCCTCTTGCACAAGAACAGTTGCGCAAAAGGGCTTATTCCTGAGTGGGAGCGTCAAGAGTTCTGGCGCAAGCAGCCCTGATTTTATACATTAGAACGTCAGTTTACTTGCACAAGAACACACAGCCAGTGTAGACAGGCAGCAAGTTTTTGTGTAAGAGCGGCCACTTTTGCGCGAGATTGCACCAGTGTAGACACAGCGACTGTCTTTCCAAAATCCCCCCAACCCCCAGACAACTGTCCTGTGCCAGGGCCCACCAGAGATTCTGTCAACCAGCAGCCCAGGGACTCAGCCACCCCCTCCCCATTGTATTAACACATCCCCCCGCAGCTTCCCCCCCCCGCATTCTTCTGCCATCTGCTTCCTTTACCCCCAGCTGTGGGGAGCCCTATGTGCCCCATAAAGCTACTGCTGGAGGGGAAGGGGGTGCCAGGGCCAGAACCCCTCATGGTGAGATGTTGGAGACAATGAACCTGATTGTCCTTGTGCAAGCTGGGCTGAGGATGGGTGATGCGCCCCAGGGGTCTTTTGGGGCCAGGCACCCAATGTTTTTCCCTATCGACCCAGGGATCCTGAAGTCTCAGGGCCAAACCCAGCAGCAAACCCATCACCGAGCAGCCTTCCTAGTTTGATTTCCCATGGTCCTCTGCAGCTCCCCAACCCTGGATCCCACAACCCTCTGTGGCTTGGCCTTCGGCCCCATTTCCCATCATCCTCTATAGTTCCACCAGGGCCTCCACTTTCCCACAATCCTCCAATTCCTAATGTCCCATGATCCTTTACAGCTCACCCCAGGTTCCCATAATCCTTTGGGGCTTATCCCAATTTCCCATGACCCTCCACTCCCATTTTTCCAGCATCATCTGCAATGGCCCCACTCCAATTTTCCCATGATCCTCTGCCACTCACCCTGATTTTCCCATAAGCCTCTGCAGTTTGCACCAATTTCCATCCTCCTCCTCCTCTCCAATTTTTCCATGAATATTTACCATGATCCCCTACAGCTCAGCCACTGTCTCTCCTTTTCCACAGATTCTCTTTCACTCCTTTCCCCATAATCCTCTGTAGCTCACCACAATTTCCTATGATCCTCCACAGTCAACTGCTGCCTCTGATTTTCCCATGATCCTTCATTCCAGAGCCCCCCCCACCCTCTCCAGAGTCTGGCCTGTGGGATAGGTGCTACAGCAGGGTCTCATGGTCCTGGAGGTTGGGGGCCGAGCGTTGACGGCGCATGCGGGGTGGGGTGGTATAGGGGCGTGGGGCTGGGTTCGGGCGGTGCTGTGGGTAGGGGTGGTGCTTGCGGGGCTGGTACGGCTCTGGGCCGCCAGGGTGGGAGGGCTTGGCCCGGTTGCCCCCGTCGAGAGAGTTGCGCCGGCGCAGTCGCTGCCGGCTGCAATGTTTGTGCTGGGGGCTGTACTGCCAACACCGTTGGGGCCTGGGAGAGCCCGGCTCCAACTGCTCCTGCTCTGGGCTGGCTCCCTCCGCTGCCACCTCCTCACCCCCACCCACCATGAAGGCTGCGCTGGGTCCCCAGGAGTAGCGGTGCTGCGGGTTACTCCTAAAGGGGAAGCGGAGCTTGCAGTCCTGAGGGGGCACAAACTTGCCAGGGGTGTGGAGCTGGCGCCGAAGGCCTCTGCAGAGCTGCTGCTGCTGCAGCCGGGCCTGCTCCTGCTTCAGCCAGCGCAGGCGCCCACGCCGGAAAGCTGGGTCCTGCTCCATCAGGCGGCACACTCGCTCGTAACTGGAGGCAGACGGCTCTTCCTTGGCACACAGGGACTCCTGGCTCCCCACTCCGTCCTGGGACCCTGCATCATCTTCTGGCCCTGCCTCCAACAGCGGAGAGCTCCAGTCGTTCTCCAGGTCCTCGTCCACCCCGTCCTCCTGCCAGAAAATGGGGCTGGTGTTAGGGGACAGGACACTTGGGTTCTACCACCAGAGCAGAGTGGGCAGGGGATTGGGAGCCAAAACTCCTGTGTTCTTTCCACAGCTCTGGGAGGGGAGTGGGGGCTAGTGGATTAGAGCAGAGGGCTGGTATTCCTGGGCTCTATATTCAGAGACCCCAGAGGAGAATCTAGTAAGGTCAGAGCCAGGAATTTCTGGGTTCATTCCTGAGCCATCTGTCACCTTGGAGCTCCTCTGCGTGTGAAGCAAAAATGAGCAGCTGTTGAGAAAGACTGGCCCAGAGTCCCTTCCCCACCCAGAGGTGGGTGGGGGGAGGGTCACTGAGCTAGGCAGTGCTCATACAGCATCTGACACAACCAGTCCCACCCCAGTGCCCCTCACACCCAACCCACAGCCCCTGCTTCCCATGTTTGTCACTTGATGCTTGGGCTCCACCTTGTGGTCAGATGTGGCTAGTGCATGACCAATCCAGTGGGCCTGGCTCCTCCCGGCTCTGGGAGGGGAGTGGGGGCTGGTGGTTAGAGTGGGTGCGGGGAGGGGGGGCGCGGCACGGACGCCTGGTTCTCCCTTCACCTGGGGAAAGGGGAGGACCTGTTCCATTTTCACCACACGGTGCCGCAGCGCCCGGATCTCCTCATCCTTCATGTTGTTCTGGATTTTGACCTCTTGCAGAATGTCGGTCAGCTTGTCGATGTGGGCTCGCAAGTCGTCCACGTCCGGGTGGGAGCTGCCGCCTGCCTTGCCATCTTCCTCTCCTCGCTCCTCACCCCCACCCACGGTGTCCCAGACGTCCCGGGCCACGGCACGCCAGGACTCCTTCTCGTGGGGGTCCCGCTTGCCATAGAGCCGGCACAGCTCCTTCATCTTCACAATGCTCATGGCCTCAATCTCTGGGCGGTTGTGTTTGAAATCATTGAGCGCTGCCTCATAGCAGATCTCCTTCACCGCCTGCATCTTCAGGTCGGCCAGCGTGACCCACTTGGGGTCCTTGGCTATGCGGCGCCGCTGGGGGATCTGGTAGACCCGCAGGGGTTCCCGCCGTTTGCCGCTGCTAGGTAGCCCGCAGCGCTTCACAATACTCTGCACCTTGGTGGCTGGCAGCTTCTCCCGCAGCGAGGAGATCAGGCGCCAGCTCTCCTCGCACGAGCGCTTGTCCGAGTCGTCCCCGCTGTCTGAGTCAGCATACTGCGCAGCGAGGAGATCAGGCGCCAGCTCTCCTCGCACGAGCGCTTGTCTGAGTCGTCCCCGCTGTCTGAGTCCGCATACTGCAAAAGGAAGGGAAACAGAAAGGGTCAGCCCCCACCAGCTGGCACTCCCATCCTGGCTGCGTGGTTCCCTCCCAGCCCTCACACCGGTCCCACATCCTCTCCTTGCACAAGTGCTCGTGTAAAGAGCACTTATGCAACTAGTCCTCACTGTACGAGTACCACAGAAGGACACACAAACAGGGTCAGCACTGTCCGCCAGCATCCCTTCCCAGCTGCATGGCCCTCTCCTGGCCTGTACCCCTCCACACCAGCCCCACATCCTCTCCTTGCACGAATACTTGTGAAAGTCAAGTCTACATACTGCCAAGGTGCAGTAGAGGGGTAACAGGGTCAGTGTTGTCAGCATCCCCATCCCATGTGTGCAGCCCATTCCTGGATACGTGCTTCCCAAGGCCCTCCTCGCACAAGTGCCCCTTGCACAAGTGCTTGTCCGACTACATATACAGGGCCGGGGGAAGACAGACGGGGTCAGCATTTCCAGCTGGCATCCCCATCCCAGCTTAGCTCCTTCCTGGCCCTTCAACCTTCACAGCCCATCCTCAAATGACATCCCTTCCTCAAATGAGTGTCCCTTGCACAACTACTTGTGAGAGTCATCACGGCTGTCCAAAGTCTGTAGACTGCAGGACAGACAGGATCAGCACTGCCGCCTGGCACCCCCCTCCCAGCTTGTGGCCGCCTCTGGCCCTGCACCTCCTATGCCTCCCAAGCGCTTGTCTATTCCCATATATTGGGGGCCATGTCAGACATAGTGAGGGGTATCAGAATTACTCCCAGTGTCAGACATAGTGAGGGGTATCAGAATGACCCCCCCTCCTTACTCCCAGCCTGTTCCCTACTCCATATCCTGTATGAAGCAAACCTGAGAGCGCCTTCACTCCCTGCCTTCTGCTACCTCCCATCTGCTGACTAATGCCCCCGGTGTGGCCCTGGGACATGATTCAATTTTTGATGTGGACATGCAGAATGTTGTTGTACCCCGTTATGCGTCTGCCTCAGATTCGGTACAAAGTGGGCCAAGTGAGGTATCTATGGAAAGCTGATGCTTTGCTGAGTCCGTTGACATGACCCATGTGCTTGTATGATTTCTGCATGGGAAGTATTGGCTCTGTGCTGGTATTTCAAGTATTTGCATCTGAGCCACAGCAACAGGCGACCCACCTATTGTGGGGTAGAGTCAAGTGAACAGCAGCACTTCACGGACAACAGCTGCAAACCTGCAGGCAAACCTGTACCCCACAGACAGGTGGCTTGCTCATGTGACAAACTCCCTTTTGGGAGGTACCATCACACAGCCAGCGCAATGGGAGGTGCTCTGTGGCGGACCCCCATTTTAAGAAATTGACTTATGGATACAAATATGCACAATTCAAAGATGCTTAGGACAAAATACCTCATGTCAAATATCAATGTTAATATCACAGTCTGATGGATCTGTATCTTATTTTGGTGTGTGTGTCACTCCTGTATGAAGTTAGAAATATGGGGGAGGGAATGGTTTATGGTTTTAAACATGTATATGAAGGCCATTAAGGGTGTTTCCAGTGCTCGGATACCTTAGTGTCTGAGTGATCACCTGTAACAGGCTCCTTTGTCCTTTAAGTCTAAGAAGTGGCTGCTCTTAGGAAGACATGTGTCCACTGCTCCAACTGGTAGGGTCTGACCAGGTAATTTTCCACAGAAGGGGAGAATGTAAAAATAAAGAATTCCCACCCAAAGGAAGTCTATTTAAGATGCAAGGTTTTCAGGCTCTTTGTCTTGGAGGACACACCCTTAGGGAGACAAAGACCCACCCAGAGAAAAAGATCTTCCCTGGCTGGCTTGGAGGTTTTTTGTCCCACAGAACACATCTCGAAGAACTATCGTTACTGCACAGGGTGAGTAACTTCTTCACTGAGTGGTGGCCGTGAGGGTGCACCACTCAGGTGACTCTGTAGCAGTACACACCTGATGGAGGTGGGCATTGGAGTCTAAGTGGAAGGAGGAAGGACTGCATCTGCTAGAGATGTGGAGGGTATTGTCCCCTTGTGCAGGGTATAGTGCTGTGTGAAAGCATGGTGTGAGGACCACGTGGCTGCTCTACAAATGTCTGCCAATGGTACGTTGTTCAGGCAGACCATTGTAGCGGCCATCACATGTGTGGAATGAGCCCTAATGGGCTGCGGTGGCTGAGGGGGGTGATGGAGGTTTGGATGCATTTTCTGTAAACCTGTGAGAAAACACTTCACCATGGGATGTGCAAAGAGAGAGAAGCCGTCTACGGGATCACGGAAGGCCATGATCGCTGCCAGGTGGACCCAGACAGAGCTGACGGAGAGGCCCATGTCGCTAAGGTCCATGAGGTAGTCAAGTAAGGTAGGTATGGGGACTGTGATGGGATGCAAATTGCACATCGTGCACCATTGTTGAAAACGCGTCTACTTGTTTTGATAGGTGCTTCTTGTGGAGGGATGCCAACTGTTTAGAAGAAAACCCTGTCCGAACAGGTGATTTCTTCATTCTGGAACCACGGATAAGCCATTCCGTGAGTTACATGGTTTTGATATTGAGGTGACATATACTGCCGTAGTGCTGTGTGAGGAGATTTGGCACTTCCGGGAGAGGGATAGGTTGATCTAATTGCCAGGTAGTGTCGGTAAGTGAACCAAGGCTGTCTCGGCCAGGCTGGGGCGATTAAGATTACTGTGGCCCGATCGGATTGGATCTTGTTGATCACTCTGGTGAGAAGTGGGATTAGTGGAAAGGCATAAAGTAGGGGAGCTGTCCAGTGGATGGTGAAGGCGTCCACTTCTGACCTCTTGCCTAATCCTGCCTGAGAGTAGAATCTGTGGCATTTACAGTTATGAGGTGTTGCAAAGAGGTTTATATTTGGAAAGCCCCATTTGCAGAAGACTGAAAGGAGGACATTGGTATTGATCACTTGTGCTGATCTGAGAAATGTCTGTTCAGTTTGTTGGCTCTCACATTCTGTTGTCCTGGTATGTACATGGCCATTGGGGTTATCTGATTTCTGATGCACCAGTTCCAGACTCTGACTGCCTTGGCATATAGAGAGTGTAATCAGGCACACACCCCCTGCCGGTTGACATAAAAGATAGGCAGTGGGGCCTAGAAGCAGGCTCTCATCAGGCCACTTCTCCTTCTCCATCACTAGCTTCCTGGTATTCATACAGGGTGGCACCCACCTCAGTGGAGCCCCTGGGATATATAGTAGGAGTATTGACAGTGGTCCTCCCATACCTACTATTCAAGGCACACAGCCTCTACATCCCAGCAACACTGCACCTCTAGGTGCTCACCCACAATCTCTGCACCCTCTTCAGCTGCTCACCCGCCCTCAGTAATTTCTCAGGCGAGTTCCAGTGAGCATGACAACTTACCCCAATCGGATTCAGAGAGTTCCTCACATGAACCCAGATCCAGGCAGGACAAAGCAGTATTCCAGATCTCACCACCTCCTCTGACAGATGACCTGAAACATTTTTCAGGAACTTTTCAAACGGGTAGCACAATTGCAAGATATTACATTCCAAGAGGTGCAGGACAAGCAATACAAATTACTCACCATATTACAACCCTTAGCATCCTCAAAGATAGCTTTACCCATTATCCTTGATTGCGAGTCAATGTTATAGGCAACGCATGTGCAGCCTTGCAAACAAGACTACAAATGTCGTGGCCACCATATGCCCCAGTAATTGAAGGCACGTCTGGACCGTGGAGAAGGGGGCTTGTCTGACCTGTTGAACGAGGTTGCAGATCGCCCTGAATCTTTGTGGCGGGAGGTAGGCCTGTGGCAAAATCCAGGATTCGGATTGCTCTGTGGCAAAATCCATCCTCTGTTCTGCTCACAAACTGCAGAGCCGACAGAAAATATTTTGTTCCTGCAAAGGACATGGACTTTCTATTTAGCCACCCACAGCCAGATTTGCTAGTGGTGGAATCTGTGAAACACCATTTGAATCTACACCCCATGACAAAGAACACAAACGGCTAGACACCTTGGGCCGCAAAGTGTACTCTTTGGCTACACTTCAGTTCTGTATATCTGATTATACAGCACTGTTGGCTAATTACCATCATGCCAATTATGCCAAATTACAAGACTTGCTACAGGACCTCCCTGAAAACAAGCAACCTCACCTCCAATCCATCAGTAAGGAGGGTTTATCAATAGCTAAAACAGCTCTTCAGGCCACTATGGATGTCGCAGACGCTGCAGCTAGAGCCATAGCCATAGTAATGCACAGGGCCTCATGGCTGCAGTCATCAGGGGTCCCAAGGGAATTACAAGCAAGGGTGGAGGATCTCCCCTTTGACAGGAATTTAACAAAACTAGTTCTCTGCAAATCAAGCAGCAAATTTGAAATTTTGGTTAGGGGTCTGAGTGACCACCCTATAAGTCCAGTGCAATCTAGTGTCACCTTCAGTAACTGCCTGAGACCTTTCTGCCAATGGTGGGCCCAAATTACCACAGACAAGTGTGTCCTAGAAATTATCAAATGGGGTTATACAATCCCCTTTACTTCCATGTCCTCTACCCCATCCCTCATCAGGGACCCCTCTCATGAGCCCCTGTTACGGACAGAGATGGAAAAGCTTAGGAGCAATAGATCATTATCAATACACAGTCCTCCCCTTTGGCCTTTCTACGGCCCCTCGAGGAATTTCAAAGACCCTACCTATAGTCACAGCCTTTCTCAGAAGACAAAATGCCATTATGTTCCCTTACCTAGATGATTGTCTAATCAAAGGCCCTACCTATCAGCAAACTAATATCATGACAACTATTACCAGGGAATGTTTTTCCCAACTTGGCAAAAGATAGAGTTAATTGGCGTATTGCTAGACCCAATCACAGCAAGAGCCTACCTCCCGCCACAAAGATTCAGGGCGATCTGCAACCTCGTTCAACAGGTCAGACAAGCCCCCTTCTCCACGGTCCAGACGTGCCTTCAATTACTGGGGCATATGGTGGCCACGACATTTGCAGTCTTGTTTGCAAGGCTGCACATGCGTTGCCTATAACATTGACTCGCAATCAAGGATAATGGGTAAAGCTATCTTTGAGGATGCTAAGGGTTGTAATATGGTGAGTAATTTGTATTGCTTGTCCTGCACCTCTTGGAATGTAATATCTTGCAATTGTGCTACCCGTTTGAAAAGTTCCTGAAAAATGTTTCAGGTCATCTGTCAGAGGAGGTGGTGAGATCTGGAATACTGCTTTGTCCTGCCTGGATCTGGGTTCATGTGAGGAACTCTCTGAATCCGATTGGGGTAAGTTGTCATGCTCACTGGAACTCGCCTGAGAAATTACTGAGGGCGGGTGAGCAGCTGAAGAGGGTGCAGAGATTGTGGGTGAGCACCTAGAGGTGCAGTGTTGCTGGGATGTAGAGGCTTGAAGGGAGTGGTCCCTGTATGAATGCCAGGAAGCTAGTGATAGAGAAGAAGAAAAGTGGCCTGATGAGAGCCTGCTCCTGTGCCCACTACCATAGTCAGATCTTAGGGATAGCGGTGTAGGCAAATGGGGGCCACTCTGAAATGTTAGCATGCCCCTGCACTGTGGAGCATGGTGAGCCAGTTACTCCTCTTGAATCAGACTGAGATTTGTAGGTGCAGCGTTTTGTGCAGCATTTTCTTGTGCTGCGGTACCATGGGGTGGTCAAAATCACTCTGCCTGGTCAGATTGGGTGCAGAGGGAAAGCTCACGAGCTGATGGAGGAGGCATATGCGACTTATCTGAAGCTGCTGCATCAGTGGCGCCAGTTGATGTGGCGGTCTTAGTTTGTGCTTCAGCTCTCCTGGCTGGCACTGACTTGCGTTTCTCCGTGGTACCAGACACTGATGGCACCGGGGAACGAGAGGCTCTAGGCAGCTCGGACAGGGAGCATGCTGGGGAAGCCCTTGCAGCTTCAGAGCCTTTGTGGGATGATGAAGCTGCCCTTATCCGAGGGCTTTTGCTGTGCCCACACCTCCTCTGGTTTGTCCCTTGGTGATTGAAGAGACTTGTCTCACAGAATAGTCTTGAGCAGCATTTTGTGGTCTTTCCTGGCCTTTGCCATCATATTCAGGCAATGAGGGCATTTGTGTGCCAAAGGAGATTCCCCCAGGCATTTGGCATATGAGGCATGGCTATCTGTGGTAGACACTGAGTCTCTGCAGGAATCACATTTTTTGAAGCTGGGGGAACCTGGCATTGTTGTGGAGAAGAAAAGCCGCTGCGGCTGCCGCTTTTTTTCCTCTCCCTCCCCCCCTTAAATGAAGTAAACCTTGAAAAAGGTGGAACTAAGTAAAATTATGAGGTAAAAACCTAAAACTAATCGACCATTTCTGTTTTTCCTGTCAGGAAGAGCGCTGCTCTGAATTCCGTCTTCAGCCAGGGATGGTTGAAAAGGAACCAACGGGACTCGCGCCGTGCATGCATTCCACAGGCTCAGGGGTGGGGGTAGAGTGGCCACTGAGCACGCAGGCGCTGTGCGAGGGGCATTGCTCGCAAAAATCTCCTATCCCCGCACAGGCACGCACCGAGACCCGAGTGGAGCACCCACAGGGACACCACTCGATGAAGAACGCGGTGCCCACAATTGCATTCTCCTCAGACCTGAAGAGGTTCAGTGTCTATAATGCTATTTGGGAGGAGAGGCAGTGATCTCAGCTTTGTGACTAGACTGGGGGAGACCAAGAGATCTGGCCCAGGAGTATAGGGTGGTGAGAAGCCCCAGAGAGCAAGGATGCGAGTGTCCGTGGCTTTATCCTTTTAGATGCTAAAGGATTAGGCTAAGTTCTAAGGCATAAATTGACCTGGGCCTGTGGCTGGTCCTTTGGGGTCAGAACTTGTTTGGATCTGGTGAGATGGCTTTTCATAACCTCTCCCCTATGTAAAATAGTGGTAGAGATGTAGCCGTGTTAGTCTGGGGTAGCTGAAGCAAAATGCAGGACTATGTAGACCCTTTTCTTCCATTATTTGATCTGAGGAAGTGGGTCTGGCCCACGAAAGCTCATCATCTAATAAACCATCTTGTTAGTCTTTAAAGTGCTACATTGTCCTGCATTTTGCTTCCCCTATGTAAGGCGTGGTGCTGGCTGTGGCACAGGAGAAGCTGGGCATCTAAGGGGGTTGCTTGTGTGACTTCTTGCAGGCCAGTGTGGCAAACAGAAGTGCCCTGTGTGACTGGTTTGGTGCCCTAGAGTGGAGGACCCCTAGATGTCAGCTTTCAGTAGCCCAGATTCTAACTGGCCCCAATTTTACTCCCCAGATGTACCCTCACAAGCAGTGTTCCCTCTAAGTTCCAGTGCAATGCAGCATCACAGGTGATTAATCAGCCCCGCCCAGTCAGCTCCATGCAGGGATCCCTGAGCCTCTGACTGGGCAGGGCTGATTAACCATCTGTGAAGCTGGGTTGCCCTACAGTTTAGAGGGAACATGCTCACAACCCATCATATTGCAGACCTCCTTGACTCACACCTCACCCCTGGTATCCTTACCAGCCGCTGCTGCTCCAGGAGCAAGTCGGCCTCCTCCTTTTCCCGACGGTACTGGTTCTCCAGGTCCTGCAGCCTGGGGTTGGGGGAGACACAGGAAAGGCTATAAGATCAGGGCACTCCCTTGATCCTGGCCTGTGAAGCCCCCTGTGCAAGGACTCCCTGCAATCCCAGAATCTCCCCCAGAGGGGCAGGGAGATGGCCCTCACAGAACCCCATTGGGCCTCTCCCTGGCTTTCCCCACTGTGCACAGCTACCCCTCCCCACCTCTTCTCCATCTCCAGCTTGATGTCAATGCCCACAGCTCCAGTCCACGGGCTCAGCTGGCAGCTCCGCTGGGGCGCTGCGCTCTCGGGCCAGGCGCGCCTGCTCCGGGTGGGTGAAACGGAACACATGGTTCTTGCCCATCACGATGCGGTTCCCTGAGAGGCAGGAACAGAGGAGGTGAGAGAACCCAGGAGTCCTGGCTCCCAGGCCTCTAATCTAACCTCCCAGCCCACACTGCCCTCCCAGCACCGAGGAGAGAACCCAGGAGTTCGAGGAGCTGCCCCTACCTGACCGTAGGACCAGTGGCTCCGTCACCAGCTTCCCATTGACATAGGTTTCAGCTCCATCGCAAGGCTCCAGCGTGACGATGGCTGCGGGCAGAGGAGACCCCATAAGATGGGGCCAAGGGTGTCCCGTCCTGTCCAGGGGGAGGAGCACACCAAGGGATGGGGGGCGTCTCAGTCACACAGGCAGGGGAAGGGGAGTGGACACGCTTTGATTGAGAGCAGATTCCCTTGTGCCCTGGGGGGACAGGCATGCGAATGGGGAGGGGACATGACCCATGGGCATTGCTGGCGAGGGAGGGCTGGGCGACAACAGTGATCCATACCTGGGTGAGTTGGCGTCTCAGCTGCCTGCCGCCAGCACAAGAGAGGGGGAAAGAGGCATTAAGGTGAGTGTTGTCAGGGGAACCTGCCCTTCCAGGTCCAGGCCATTGGTTGAGAAGGGCCACTGCAGACTCTCCCCCTCACCGCTTCCCCCCGCTTCCCCCAGAGGCAGGATGCTGGGTCAGGGAGAGTCTTGCCCCGGAGGACCCAGGACCCCATTGTGCCGAAGCGGGAATGCACTTCATGTTTTTTCTGAATACTGTGCGCACCTGGGTGTCCCCACATTACTCTCTAGGCAGAAGGGTGGGGAATGGGCACCGAGAGCCCCAGAGAGCCGCTGCAGCTGCAAGGGACTAACAGTGACCAGCCAGCACCATGTAGCTGGGCACCCAGTAGACAGGCCCGTCCCATGCACGGAGCCAGCCAGAGCTGCTGGAGAACAGGGCCCAGGGGAACGGTTTGCCTGGGACACACACAAAGCCCAGAGGGCGAAGGGGGTTGTGAGGCTCGGCTGCTGGGGGAGTCAGTCCTGAGGTTAGGGATGTGGAGGGCAAAGCCTAGGTCCCTCCTTGCTGCAGGTCCTTGCTCTCTGTATCTGTCCTATGCCAGGTTCCCACAGCTTGTCTGCATTACCTGCCGGCTGCCCAGTGGGGAGCAGGGCCTGCAGCGGTAGGGAGAATGAGGTTCCCCAGGATGTCCCACTGGGGGACTCACTGTGAGGAGCTTATGGGGTGAACAGGAGGCTCACAGTATGACCGGGGCTGAGTACTCTGAGGCTGGACCTGGGAAGCCCTGAGCTGGTGACTCTGTGCCACCTGCATGGAGGATGTGACGTTACATGCAGCCACTGTTCTGTGTTTGCACCAAATCCTGTGCTGAGTGGGCCCCGTGACCTGTCTCGAAAGCTGATGATTCGCTGGTTCGGTTTGTGCTGCTTGTGGGCAGATGTCATTTTTGTATTTGTATCCTCGCATTCCAAATGTTCGCTCCTGGGAGTTATCAACAGGCGTCGCCCAGCCATTGTGTAAGGGTGGCTAGTCAGCGACTAGCAGCACTTGGCCAGCAATGGGCCTCCAGCGGTGCCGATCCACAGCTGAGGAACTTGGCTGTGAAGATTCAGACCAGCCTGTGAGCGAGTCAGGCATGGACAGTGACTGGTCACGTGACAAATGCCATTGCGGGAAGCACTTTCACAGCAGGAGAGCAGTGGGATTCCCTCTGCGTGGGCAAGGGTAGAACGAGGGCCCTGGGGGCTCTTCCAGCTTTGTCTTCACTCCAGCTCATCCCGTCAGGGGCAGCTTTGTCATGAGCCCGAAAGGACTGATGACCCACCCTAGCAGAGGACGTATTCCAGAGACTTACAGACAGCAGTTTATTCCATCTCTGCTGCACGCCTGCACCAGGAACTTGGGAATCGGCGTGCGCAATCTGTTTCCTTTAGCAGTTTTACTCTTGACCTTCTCTTTCTTTTATGAATAAGCCTTTAGCGGTTAGATTCTAAAGGACTGGCGCAGCGTGCTCTTTGCGTAAGGTCTAAAGTGAGGGGAGGGGGGGGACTTCAAGCCCAGAGACCAGATGCGGCCTCTGGCTTACCTGGGTCCAGCCCCTGAGGTTCAGCATTGGGGATCCCGCACTGATGCTCCAGCCACCCTGCCACCCACCCTCAGGGCTGGAGCACACAGAATCTGCCAGCCTGGGCGCCATAGGTTCTGGTGTGCGAGGGGAATGTGGGGAGTGTCTTTCTCCTGCTCAGTCGGGCTTCTCACTTGTGTGCGGCCCCCGACCTAAGAAGGGCTCCCCACCCCTGCTCTGAAGTGTAAATTGACCTGGCATGTGGCTGGTGTGCTGGGTTCAGGAGAACCTGCTGGGATTTGGCGAGATGGGTTTTCATAGCCTCTCACCTGGGGAAGGAGCAGAGCCGTCTGTAGCACAGCAGAAGCTGGGTATCTAAGGGGGCTGCTTGTGTGACGAAGAGAAGTGCCCTGTGTGTCTTAGCGAGGAGGATCCCCAGTCATGGGCTGTAAGTAGCCCTGGTTCCAAGCAATTCACCCTGATCTGACCTCTCAGTGGTGCCCCCAGAACTTCTTGGATTGCAGAGGGGCTGCGGGGCAGTGCCCTGTCCACAGAGCAGATCAATGTGGGGTGCAGGGGGCCCCCCTGCCCATACCTTCCCCAGCAGCATTGGGGCAGCTGCGGAAGACACAGTGCTGCTCCCTGATGAACTGTCCTGTCAGCCTGATGTCCACATCCACTTGGCCCACCCTGCGGAGAGAGGGGCATGAGTGAGCAAGGTGGGTCAGGACACACCTGACCCCCTCCCGTGGGACCCCATCCTGCCCCCAACCTGGTCACGCCGTCCTTGATGTGGTACAGCAGGCACTCTGACATCAGCGGGTCCTCATTCAGGTTCACCAGGTGCGGGGTCTGTGTGTGGAGGGGGCGACACATGAGTGGGGGGGCAGGGTTCGGGGACCCAGCTCCCTGCAGAGAAGGGCCCTGCTCAAGGGAACTGGGGTGGAGGGGCCCAGCCCCCTACGGAGAAGGGCCCAATCCTGGGGGATTCAGAGGTCAACGACTGTCGGGTGCAGAGACGGATGGGGGCGAGTACAGAAAATAGAATTGGGGCATCTGGGGTGACCCCTGATCTTGGTGGAGCTCTGTGTAGCGCTGTACAGATTCCCCCATCCATATGGCAGCCCCACCACTGCCCAAGGGGTCCTCCAGCTTCTCCACTCACCTTTTTAGGGGAGAAGACCCCCACCGTGCCACCATCTTCCCGCACAGCCACACCCATCTCAGCCAAGAGCGCCTCCCTGCAGCAAGAGACCCACCTCATGACACCACGCATCCCCGAAAGGTTAACAGGCAAACGCCCATGGAAATGCGGCCACCTCTGGGGCAGAGTGGTTGGTTCCACAGGGACCCCTCCCCTGGCACTGAAATGGAGCCATCTCTGGGAAGGGGCGGCTGGTTCCACAGGAACCCCTCTGTCACAGAGTCACCAGACCCTGCACCTGCAGCCAGTCATGATGCTCAGCCAGAAAGTAGAGCAGAAGGTTTATTTGTTCACAGGGACCCAGCGTGGCTCAGACTTCTTGTTACAAGAACCAGGAGCCGTCAGTACAACCCATCTTGGGGAGAGGGGGGCCCTGGGCCCCTGCCCCGACCCCGCAGGCCAGCTAGGCTCCTTTCTCCCTCAGCCAGCTGAAAACTCACTCACACAAGCAGCAACTGGCCCCAGCCTTCCAGGACACCCCACCTGCTCCTGTGTCAGATTCCTGGGCAAAGTGTCACCTGACTGAATCCTCCATCTAGCTCAGGTGACAGGCTGACCTGAGCCATTCCCTATTTGCCTCCCTCAGGAGTTCTCCCACAGAGATCCCAACCCCCACTGGGGGATGAGAGTTTGGAGTGCACGGGGGGGAAGGGACGTGCACGCACACACAGCACAGTAGCATAGGACAGTAGGAATCTCATAAAGCACAAAAAGTAAACAGTGAATACAAAAACAGAGTGAACACAGGACTACAAGAGTGGACAAAATCCCCACTACATCACACCCTTGCCCGGCACTGAGATGCAGCCACCTCTTGGGTACGCCCGGGCCCAGCGCTCACCTCTCCATCCGAAGGGCCTCGGTTTTCCGCAGCTTCTCCTCCCATGTCTCATTCAGCTCCGCTATTATCTTCTCTGTCTCCTGCGAATGCCAGTGAGCAGCCAGGCTCAGGGCACCTCCAGCACACAGCACCAGAGGCTGAGCCTGGGGCCCTGGCCTCTCCCCACCCCAACAGGCGTATGTGTGCGGGGACTGCCAGACAGTTCAGGGTAGGGGAACTCGGAGCCAGGACTCCTGGGTTCTCACCCTGGCTCTGGGAGGGAACGGGGGCTGGTGGGTAATGGGAGTGGAGCTGGGAGCCAGGACTCCCGGCCACTGGAGGGCAGAGTGGGAGGATCTGGGTTGAGCTGGAAGGTTGGAGGGGGGGATGGTTAATGTTAGAAAAGAAACAGGCGACCCAGGAGCGGATGTGGTAAACGGAACCACTTTATTGCCTATGCACGTTTACCTCGGCCATTCAACACAGTGTTCCAGTGGCCCCAACCTGGCATTAGTCGGACTCTTTTATCTATTTTAGCATGTTAATGTACATGTCTATCACTACTGTTCCTAAAGCCTTATTTAGCAATGTTAACTCCCCAAAAATAAATAGTCATAAGCAAATAATGAATCCAATTATACCCGCCCCTAATTACTAGTCACAATTTATAATTAAATCAACACATACCTATGCTACAAACTAAAAGGTTACAAGGATGTTAACCCCGAAGAGATGATACAGTGCCAATGAGGATAATCAAGATACAATAAAGAAGAGCAGCTGCATGCTTATCTATTTTCCTAGGCTGTATAATGAAGGGAAAAAGCATGTTTAAGTGTAATGCTGTGGCTGAACCCTGAACCACTAATGCAACAAGGCCATTCCAGACCCCTATTCATTTTACATTCCCCAACACTTAAGATTGGGGGGAAGTGATGCCCCTTGATAGCAGCCCTACCTGCAGTCTCTCCATGGCCTCCTCCGTGCAGATATCCTGGTCATCCAGGATGGGGAAGGGCTCAGATGCCCCATTGAGGGTAGTGGGGGTCTGGGGCTTGGCAGCAGGGTCAAAGGGCAGCATGGGAGCAGGAGGGGGGCCAGCAGGCTCCTCCCCCTTCAAGCCTGGAGGGAGCATTGAGGTTAGGGGGTTGGTCATGCTCACAGATGCACCTGCACCACTCACATCCCCCAGCACCCACCCTTTGGCTAGACGCCCCATATAACCGTGGCCCAGTCCCTATGCACCCCATCCTCTGCCCAGAGTGCTGCACAATGGGGGGCATTTGGAAGGCAGCCACCCCCCATTTAAAAATGGAGCCTTCTTTCCTCACCCCACTCCGGGCACCAGCATTTATCAGAGGCAGGCTGCACCGCCCCCACCAAAATCCCCTTAACTCTGCCCCTTTCCCTCTCTGCCTGTCAGGGCACTCACCGCCAAGGTGGGGAGCGTCGGAGAGGCCCTGGGCGAAAAGCAGTTCCCGCAGCCGGGCCACCTCCTCCTTCAGCTCACGGATGAGCCGGGCATTGGGGTCCTCGTTGATCACCGCGTTGCAACGGATCTGCTTGGTGCGGTCCGCGTAGCTGGGGGGTGTATTTTAGCAGCTCTGGATGAATGAGCAGCCCTGCTCCCAATTTGCCCAGCCCTTCTCCCCTGCCCACATACCCACTCCTCTTCCATCCACCCCACCACCATGACCCAGAAGTGCCCCCCAGGTCTGCAGTGCTCACCGGAGGGTGCTCAGGGTCTCCTCATAGCTGATGTCGGCGGGGCTCAAAGCAGCGATCATGGCCGTGCGGGAGTTACCACCTGGGGGAGGAGATGAGGGAGGTTAGTGGGGGAGCCACCCCCTGCTACCCTCCAAGAAACATCCCATTTCTCCTCCATATCCACAGTGGCCAATAGGACACGCTGTCCCTCCCATATCCCACTCCTCTAGCCAGGATATTGCCCCCCATGTAGTGCGCCAGGACCCGCCCCCCAGGATCAGTGCAGGTTACCCAGGTTTTCTTTGAGCAGCCAGGTGAGCACCGAGTCACGGTAGGGGATGAAATCGGATTTCTTTTTCTTGTTGTTTTGCTGGAGAGGGAACAAGGGGGGAGGGTGAGAGCCGCTAGGAAAGAGCTGACACCCCCATGCAACCGAGCTTCGCCATGCCCATGTGTGCCTCAGTTTCCCCTCTGTGCAAAGCACTGCTGTGTCCAGTGGCGCAACAAGGGGTTGGGCAGCTGCTTCTGGGTCAGAGCCAGAGACGCGTAGAGTGGAACCAGCAGGTGGTTGAAGGACTGGCCCTGGTGCTCCTTTCCCCCATGGGGCTGATGGGGCCAGAGACAGCTGGGATCCTGGTGGCTAGGCTGGGAGGGAAGCCAGCTTGGCCAGACCCTCCGGAAAAGGTGCCAGTTGTTGATGCAGACACTGGCTGGGTGCCAGGCCCCCACAGAGGGGACAAGTCTGGCGGGGGGAGAGGGAGGACTCAGCTGGCCCTCTGCTGCTCCACAGAGGGACTGCCTGGACCAGACAAGGGCAAGATGCCCAACTCCCCATCCCACTCACCAGCTCGGCCAGGGCGGAGATGACCTTCCCCAGCGTGGTCAGCGACTTGTTGATGTTAGCACCTTCCTGTAGAAGGGGGAGAGCATGGGCAGACCAGGCATTGGGGGCCACCCATGTGCTACACAGACAGCCCACCACTCCTCCCAGAGGGGTCCAGGCCCCCGGGACGCCAGCCACGAGACACCGCACTCCAGAGGCATCGGAGCCACGGATGCTGCCGGCCCTGTAACATGTGTGCGCATGTGTCTTAGTGCCTGGATCCCATGGAGTCATGCAGGGCCGGGCCTGCAGGTCCCTGAATGGTGGGGTTCAAATGCTGCCAGTGACACTGACCTTCCACAGCATGTGCGCACCAGGCCAGATGGGGGTGGGGCCAGATGCTGTGAAGCCCTTGACAGGGCGTGCCACTCAGGGACATCCTGGTGGGCTGGTTAATCTAGCGCCATCCTGGAGGGTTGCGCCTGCCCCCTCTCCACGGAGCAGCAGCTGCTGAGGGGTCCTGTTCAGGGTCTAGGGGCTCTCACCTTTAGCCTCATGCCCTTTGCCCCAGAGGAATCCGCCCTCTCGCTGCCGGCCAGATCCACCAGGCTGATTTTGCTGACCTGAAGGGGGGCGGGGTCAGAAAGAGAGCGGGTCAAGAGGGCTGGACTTTGTTCGCTGCCCTCCCTGGCCTGCTCTGTCCTCACTGAGCCAGGCTGAGACCCAACGAACTCGTTCCATGCCTGACCTCTCCCAGCTAGCACCTGCCCTGACCTGCCCCTGCCCCCAGCCAGCTCCCCCCCGGGTTACCTTCTCTGTGTCCAGGTCTGTCAGCTCATCATGTCTCCTCTGTGTGAAGACGATGGTGAACACGGCGTGGGAGCGGCTGCTGGTCTCATTCATATTGGTGGCAGCTACGGTACCCAACGAACTCGTTCCATGCCTGACCTCTCCCAGCTAGCACCTGCCCTGACCTGCCCCTGCCCCCAGCCAGCTCCCCCCCGGGTTACCTTCTCTGTGTCCAGGTCTGTCAGCTCATCATGTCTCCTCTGTGTGAAGACGATGGTGAACACGGCGTGGGAGCGGCTGCTGGTCTCATTCATATTGGTGGCAGCTACGGTCCTGGGGGAGAGGTGGAGGGGAAATGCCAACAATCCAAATTTGGAAGTTTTACCTTCAATGCATTTTATATTATTTTGTTGAGAGTCAGGCCAAAGGTTCATCTCCTCAGTAATATCAAAGCTAAAACAGGTGGGATTTTCTAGATGTAAATTTGATTTACTTTTCATTGGGATGTTTCCTTAATTAGCATATGTTTAGTGTTGTTTAATTCCTCAGGAGCCAGGAAGGGACAGTTTTCCCATTAGTCATTCAGAAGCAGGCAGATGATGGGCTGAGGGATGATGCAACACTTGAAAACACACACAAACTAGGGGAAAGGGGAAAACGCGCTGAACTGCACTCATTGACTCCATGCAAAGTAGCCACCTTTCACCTATATTTGTTGAATCACTTTTCAACAAATATAAGTGAAAGAAATAAAGTAGGACAAATTGCCTCACACAGTACAAGTCAGGCAAGGCCATGTAGGACCATTTCACATCAGGTGTGATATCCAAAAATCCAATTTTTTATAACAAGACAGTTTCCTGTAATGGAAGGCTAGTAATAGTGAAATGATTGTATATTAACAAACTCTATTATTGGTACAGATACAGAGAACAAGTGCAGATCCTACACCAGGTGTTTCTACAACCCACAGGTCAGTGTGGCGGGGAGTCCAGGGAGAGCTGGAGGTCTGAAGGGAAGGCTCAGGGGGCCACGGATCAGCATTGGGGGAGGACGGGAAGGGGCTTTGAAAGGAGGGTGGGGATCACACAAGAGGAGTTAGGGGTCAGGACTGGGGCAGCGCTTAGGGGCCTGCGTAGGGAGGCTAGAGGCCAGGCCTGGAGGGGGAGGAGGGGTCTGGGCAACTCACCTCCACGGAGTAGGAGAGGTCGTGGGCACGACTCTGGGCAATGCGGGCAAAGAGATCCTCACACAGCTGGAGAGAAATGCAACACAGCAGGCTGGAAACACAGGCAGGGCCTCGTCCCCTAGCCCAGCCCAGCTGCCCACCCCCTCACCCCCAAGCCCTCAGCCCCTCCCCTGCAGCACAACCCCTGCCACAGAGCACACAGCCCCCACCCCTACCTGCGGGATGATCCCCTGCTGCCCAGTCTCCTGTCGGCCCATCATGGTGTAGGACTTGCCGGCCCCCGTCTGGCCATAGGCGAAGATGCAGACATTGTAGCCCTCGAAGGCATGAAGCAGCATCTCCTCCCCAATGTCCTTGTACACCTGCCACTGGGACGCGAAGTGGGGGTCCTCCTCCTGGGGGAGATAGGGTTGGTGGTTCCTTGTGGCTCTGCCGGTGCCCCTCACTCCCGATCTGCAGCCCCTGCCAGGCCAGCCCAGTCCTGCCAGTGCCCCTCACTTCTTCTCTGACCCACCAGCCTCCGCTCTCCTCACACAGGTGGAGAGAGAACCTAGGAGCCCTGGCTCTCAGCATCCCCTGCTCTAACCACCAGCCCTCACTCCCCTCCCAGTGCCCAGGAGTCATGGCAGGGCTGATCTCCCCCTGCACCTGTGGGGCACTGTGGCCCACAGAGGCTGGATGACTTAGCCAAGGCCCCTGAAGGAGGTGCTGTCAGAGCAGGGAGAGGACCGAGCGCTAGGCTAGCCCCACACCCTGGCCATCCCTCGCCACTCTCCGAGCTTGGGTGCTCACCGAGGTGTGGGACCAGTAGGAATAGTCGAAGGTGAAGTTTTTGGCAGCATCTTTTGTCATCTTGGGATTGGTGATACCTGTGGGGAAACGGGGCAGAGAGTGAGCGAGCTGGGCCTGGGACGCACTTAGTGCTAGCTGTATCACACGTCCTGCTAGTGCCGCCTGGATGCCTGGCTCCCGACTGAGATCAGGGCCCACATGGGGCCAGGGCTGTATGGAGCAAAACACACACACAAGCTGGGAGCCCCGGACTCCTGGGTTCTCTCCCCAGCTCTGGGAAGGGTGCAGGGGCTGGTGTTCAAAGCGGGAGGACTGGAGGGGAGGCTCATAGGTTCTCTGCACAGCTGGGTCTAGGCCAAACAGAGGGTGACCAGGGCTGTGCAGTGTCACAGCCCGGGCCTCTCACACCCAGCTCAGGTTTGCGCTGAGAAGGCCAATTGGCTCAGAACCCAGCATCTCCCTTTTAAGCCGGGCGGGCCCCGGCTCGGAGGCCAGGCCGGCTCTCATGCCAGCGCACTGCTGCCTTTAAAAGGCTCCCGGGCCAGCTGACTGACATCTCGGCAGCCCCTGGGACCATAACAAGTTGAGGACGTTCTGGCTATATTTAGCATCCACCCCTTGCAGCAGCTGGGTCTGCAGGATGCCAGCACAGGGAAGAGGGCTCTGAGGTTGCATCCCTGTTCCCCCGACCTCAGTACAACAGGCCCCCGCCACAGAGCAGGAGCCCGTCCTTAATCTAAACAAAGCATTTGTAGCTCTTGTGTTTGGGAGGAAAAGCATCAAAACTGAGCCAGACGCTGCCTGAGTCAGTCGCTAAGGGAGAAAGGAGAAAAACCCACCCAGCGGCCCTGCCTGAATCTACAGCAAGACGGAGCCCATTGCTATGAGGAGGGTGGGGACAGCACTTGTGTACCTCACAAGGGAAAGATCAGCAGGCCTGGCCCCAAGAGCTTTCTGTGTGCCTGTGCGGCGTGCCTCATGCAGCGTGGGACCGGCATTCACCAGTCCATGGCATCCATGGGTTGGCTCATTAACCTCCCAGGCCTGGGGAGCAAATGCAGAGTCTCCCCCTACTCTCCCACCCCCACCAGCTAACCCAGGCAGCAGAAAAGGTCTGGAACAAACCAGCTTCTGTCTGCTTTTGTGTGTTCAACTGGGCCTGGCAAAGCCACAAAAGGTTTGGCCAGCACTGCAAGAGATGAAACACACTCGCCACGCCCTGGAGTTATTTTGCCCGGCCCAGCAGCCGACAGCCCAACCCACAACCCTGAGGCAACTCCTGGCAGGGAAGGAAATCCTAGAAAGCTTGTGCAGCGGGTTCGAAAACCCGGACTCCCCCGCGCACAAACTCGCCAGCAGCACTCGGTGCTGTGCTTCAGCCTGTACCCAGGGAAGCAGAGAAGCAATTTTATCTGCATACACAGTGTCCAGTGGGGTGGGTTGTGGGGAAGGCTGGGAGCCAGGACTCCTGGGTTCTCTCACTAGCGTTGAACACGTGGGCAATGAACTTAGCCACTCTGCACAAGCAGATCCAACTACCAAGTGGAGCGAAAGGGTGCAAGAGGGCGTCACTGCCCTCTGTTCTGTTATTTTCATTTAGTCGGTAGCTCTGGAGCACCCAAGTGAGCGTGTGCAGTGTAATTAGCCAGCTAATGGAATTAGTGCTCCTGTGTTTCTCCCAAGCCCGCCTCTCACCTTCCTTTGAGAGCCACAGAAAACTCTTGCCCCCTCCCATCTGTCTGCCTCCCTTCTACCCCAGCCACGTTAAAAGCCGAGTGCAGCCCCTGGGTCAGCTGCCTGCCAGCTCAAAAGGCATGCTGGCTTTCTGCATGGGGCCCCTCACACAGACACCCCCAGCCAAGTCATGGAACTGGGGGATGGGCCCTGCTCCTTTTCCACATCCCCCTTCTTGCCCTCTGCTCCACTCCCAGCCCACAGACACAGCTGCCCTCCTGCAGCCTTTCCACCTCCCCTGTCAGTGCTGCGCCCCTTTTGATTCCCACTCAGGGTGGGAATGGGTAACCAGGTAACCGTTACCATGTGAGCATCACTCTTAACGGGTGATGATCACGGGCTAATGGTTAGCCATACCCACGAGCAACCCCCCGCCCACAGCCTGCCACAGGCAGGGGGTTGCTTCAGACCCCCAGGCTCCACCATGCAGTGCTGCTGGCTCCTAGCCTGCATGGGGCCAGGAGCCAGAGCCAGCAGCCCTATGCAGGGCTGGAAACAGCTGGGCTGGAGTATCCCCTGCCTGCAGTGGCAGGGGGAGGTCACTGTAGCCTGACTGTGGAGGGCAGAGGGACAGTTGTAGCCCAACCAGGCTGAAGTCCCCCCCTGGAACGCCCCCCAACCCCTTTAATTGTTTACCATTTGAGAAAACAGTTTCTTGCCACTTTAACCAGAAAGGACACTCTCTAAATGACTTAGCCACCTGCATTCTGCTACAAAGACCTTTTACATCTGCACTTGAAAGGGAATCCTCTGAACTGTCATTCATGTTAAAATTCGACACTTACCACCAGGGACTTAACAAGTCTTTGAACTTTCTCACCCATTATCAAGACAGTTTCCCCAATTATCACCTGTAATACCATTAACTCACAAACATCCCACTCTCCCTACCTCTAATATCATCAATTCACAGACACTTACCTTCCTTCCTCCCCCTTCCCACCCCCCCGCATCCTCCTTCTGTTCTGCAATGTGATTTGTCCTTTTCATATTTGTTCATTTTTTTTAATTGTATCCTTTGGTATATATGGTTGTGACTACTTTCTTCCACTATTTGATCTGAGGAAGTGGGTCTGGCCCACGAAAGCTCATCATCTAATAAACCATCTTGTTAGTCTTTAAAGTGCTACATTGTCCTGCATTTTGCTTCACCATTTAAATGCTACATTTAACCAATTAAATGGTATTTTACATCCCTAATTCCCACCTTCAGGCTAGTGGGTCGGCTGTTCCACGAAGTCCCAGCTGCCAGAGTCATGGAATTAAAAGGGCATCTTTGCTTCCCTTTGTTTAAAGGAAACAGGAGTTTCTAAGTCTCATGGTAGCAGAGCAAAGTTTGTAAATGTCACTCTCGTAAAGGCTCAGGAGCAAAAAGGAAATACAAAAAAAAATCCCTCCATTAATTATTTTTAGGGCCGTATTGAAGCTTTGGGAACACACTACCAGACCACCACGAGGGTGGCAGAACACACTACTGCACTACCACAAGGGAGGGAGACAGAATACGCTATCAGATTACACGGCACAACAATCCCCCCCACTATCAACACAACTACTCCATCTTCTGCGGGCTGCCATCGACACTCCGGTGGGGCTAACAACTGTGCCCATTTTATTTGCAGCCCCCCAACAGGCTTCCCCCCCTGTTGCATTTCCCCTTGTACGGGCTGGAAATTACTCAGGGTAGAGAAACGCCACTTCCTTCTCGCAGAACTCTCAGACAAGACCAAATACCCAAATTCAGATAGGAAATAAGCAGCGAAAATAACCACACAAGCCATTGGGACAACTTCCCAAGGGCCGTGGTAGATTCTCCATCACCGGTGATTTGTAACATCAAAATAAATTCCCACCCCCGCCACGATCTGCTCTGTTTCACCCAGGATTTATTTACAGGAAGCTCTGTGTTATACAGAAAGGGGAAGGTGTCCCAGACTACAGGGTCGCATTGGTCCTTGCTGACCTTTGCAATTGACCAGCTCAAGAACTGAGTAGGAGTTGAGCTAAATCAATGGTGCAACACTGTGGCAAACAAAGCAACCATCATTCTGTGATCTAGCAACAGACATGTTGCAAGCAAGACAGGAGAAGTCATTCTTCTGCTCTACTGATTCGGCCTCAGCTGTATAACTGTCAATTCTGGGCATCACATTTCAGGAAAGATGTGACAAACTGAAGAAAGTCCAGAGAAGAGCAGCAAAAATGATTCAAGGTCTAGAACAGAAGAGTTATGAGGGACAATTGAAGTAACTGAGGGTATGTCTACATTACAAAGTTAATTCGAACTAACAGATGTTAGTTCGAATTAACTTTGATAGGCGCTACACAGGCAAACTGCTAGTTCGAACTTAATTCGAACTAGGTAAACTTCATTCTACGAGGACTAACGCCTAGTTCGAATTAACTAGTTCGAATTAACTAGTTTGAATTAAGGGCTGTGTTGCCACTTAATTCGAACTAGTGGGAGGCTAGCCCTCCCCAGCTTTCCCTGGTGGCCACTCTGGGCACCACCAGGGAAACTCTTCTGCCCCCCTCCCGGCCCCGGAGCCCTTAAAGGGGCACGGGCTGGCTACAGTGCCCGTGCCAGGTGCAAGCCTGCCAGCACCCAGCCAGCAGACCCTGCACCTGGCACGGCTCGAGCCAGCCACCCGCTGCCACCCAGCCCTCCACCTCTTCCCGGGACCAGGCTGGCGGCTCCCAGGAGCCTGCCCAGGTCCGCAAGAGGTGGGCGCCCGCCTGGTCTAGTGCAGACATCGTGGACCTCATCCATGACCTCCGCACTAGGCACAGGAAAGTGGCCATCTAGGGCAGGATAGCTGCCAGCCTGGCCACCCAGGAGCAGGTTGGCATGAAAATCAAGGTGGTCCACTGAGACCCCCGACCCTGAGCCCTGAGCTTAGAATGGCCATACTGGGTCAGACAAAAGGTCCATCTAGCCCAGTAGCCTGTCTGCCGACAGTGGCCAACACTAGGTCCCCTGGAGGGGATGGACCGAAGACAATGACCAAGCCATTTGTCTCGTGCCATCCATCTCCAGCCTTCCACAAACAGAGGCCAGGGACACCATTTCTACCCCCTGGCTAATAGCACTCCATGGACCCAACCTCCATGACTTTCATCTCACTTCTCTTTAAACTCTGTTCTAGTTGTAGCCGTCACAGCCTCCTGCAGCAAGGAGTTCCACAGGTTGACTATTTGCTTTGTGAAGAAGAACTTTCTGTTGTTAGTTTGAAGCCTGCTACCCATTCATTTCATTTGGTGTCCTTTAGTCCTTCTAGTATGGGAACTAATGAATAACTTTTCTTTATGCACCCTCTCCACACCACTCATGCTTTTATAGACC